TACTATATTTTAAAAACTCTAATTTCTATATATAATCTGTATTATGTTGTACTATGATTACTCTCTGGTTGGCTAGTAAATCACCAATTAAACTAATTTATAAAAAATTAATAATTTATAAATTAAATTGGTTTGAAAATTTAAAATTTATATGGAGTCTTTCATATTAACAGGGCCCATTTTGCAATATAAACAATTTTGAGATAATTGAGTTTAATCATTTGTTTTGATTTTCAGACTGATCTGGGATTACAGCTATTATTATAATTTCTGAGACACTTGCTCATTACCCAAAATCTTTTTGGTCATTTGGTAAATTGCCTAACTCTCTGGAAATTACATCACTGCCTCCGAACTGAAGGTCCGAAGACAGCGATGTAGTTTCTGAAAAGTTAGGTAATTTACCGAACAACCAAAAAAATTTTGGGTAATGAGCAGGTTTCCCAGAAATTATGATAATAGCCGTAAACAAATTTCACGATTTTGATTGGTCAAACGTAACAGGTGACTATCGGGTAATCTCGTGCTGTGCTCAGCTTCGTACAATTTTTCTTTTAAATTATCTCTATTTTTTATTATGCAAATCGCTTTTCATTTATAATTGAAAAATGTCAGTCATGTTAAAATTTACATGAATCTAATAAAAACTCATTTTTCAAAAAATTTGCAAAATGGGCCCTTTTAATGTGAAAGACCCCATATATTTGCGGGCCGGCAAAAAATTTTTAATATTAAATGCGGGCCAGGCCGGGCCTTAAAAATTACTAATTTGCAGGCCTCTATGACCAAATGTCAATTGACCTGCCTGATCTTGAAATATTATTGGATAAATCCATGTGATTAAGTTACCGATGCCGATAAGTCGATATTTTTTAGATATTTCGCTTTCAAGTGTTTAACAATGAAATTGGTAAGCCAATATTTCATACGAAACCAAGTTATAAGTTATTCCATTCTGAATTTCTTTATTACTTTTACTTAAACATTAAAAGCATCCTCTAAGCCGAAATCTTCGATCGAATTGCTTCTTGATTAAGTTGAAGCAAATGAATTTCATAATTGATTGTGGCCTCAATGTATCCGGCTTAATGAAGTTTTCACCCCGCGATAATTTAGGCACTCGTTCCCATCCTATGGCAACAGAAACCGAAGCCACAAGCAATCCTTCCGATTCTATGATAATTGATAATGAACCAAAACGTACAAAATTAGATCCAGCCATAGATCCAGCTAATGGAAGCACACGTCGATCTAGAGGTCAATTTTATGTGGAGACTCCAGTATTTTCGAGCGTTGATTGGAAATCTATAGATTTTATATTGATTACAAATTATAAAAATATGCTTGCACTACCTTATATAACCGAATATTCTGAATTTAGAGGAAAGGTTTACGCAACGGAACCTACGGTTATATTTGGATGGTAACTGTTGAATGTGTGTTTTCATTTCTTCCTTTCGTATGTTTTAAGAAATGTTCCTTTTTAAATGTTTACACTTATAGTTTATTGTTTTTTTAGTCAAATTATGAAAGAGTTAGTGCACTTTTTTGGCGACAGTTCGGTTCCGAGTTATTCTCGACAACGTGTACATGCTAAAGTCGAGTACTGTGTCATAATTATTGCTATTGTTCTTCGCGTTTATGAAGCTTAGTGCTTGTCATTTTAACCATCTTATTATCTTCCAGAAAATCAAACATTTTTTATGGTTTCACTGCTGAGAGTAACTTGGCTCAATCTTTATATACAATATCAGATGTGCAATCATGTGTTGATAAGATACAACCTGTTCGATATGGTGAAAATCTTGTATGTATAATTAATGTTAGCTGATTATTGTCATATTTGCTGCTTTATTTTGCTCAAAATACTACATTCATTTTAGGATTTATACGGAGTTGAAGTTACTGCACATAGCGCTGGATATTGTTTAGGCAGTGCTAATTGGTCGATAATTTGTGATACTGAAAAAGTAACTATGTTAGCATATATATATGTATTTATAATACGTTTTGTGCTCAAAATAATTATCAAATATCAAATATTCATAATTAATAGATTGCGATGATATCCTCCTCTTCCATAATAACTGATATTCATCCATTGCCATTTAGCAAATCTGTATTGAATGACGTTGATGTCGTTATTTTTAGTGATTTGTGCGAATCGCATAGTGAAGATGACGTTAGATTAGAATCTATTTTACCTATGTTACGTGATATTGGAAACTATGCAGGTTTGCTACCGCTTTTCTGTACTTTTGTCTTCGTTGGTATTTTTTTTTTTTTTTTTTATAATTCGAATTATATTTTAGGGGACGTTTTAGCGAATAAGGGAAACGTCTTAATTCCCTGTGTTCTTAATGGTATAATGTTTGACGTGCTAGATTATCTTGGGAGACATTTAAATTCCAGAGGACTTGGCGGTGTTCCATTCTATGCTATTTCTCCAATAGCTGAAGAATCGCTCAAGTATTCATTTATTTCAGGTGAATGGTATGAATCCAATCTTTGATACTATAAATATGAACAGCAGAGCAATAGTTTGACATGTTTGAATTTTGTTATTAAAGGATGTGTGAAGAAAGACAGCTACGTATGTACATTCCAGAGAATCCGATGGTTCATAAAGATATGTTTGATAGAAATTTGCTCTATTACGCTGCTCGTGCTGATAGTTCTCTCCAGGAAATATATAAAGAACCATGTGTTGTCTTTGCGGGACATTCTTCCCTGCGGAGCGGCGCAGTCATTAATTTTATTAAAAAATGGGGAAATAATCCAAACAATGCTATCATTTTCATAGGTATGCACAAGTTTAAGCAAACTTTTTCATGATTATTTATATATATTTATTTATTATGGATATGGTATAAATAATTTAGAATCAGAATTCAACTTTAAAGAAGCTATTTCCGCATTTGACGGCTTGCAAATTAAAACAATGCATTTTCCAATCGATATTCGCCTTACAGTTGAACAAGCAGTCGAAATGATTAAAGGATTGAAACCTCGGGAAGTACTGTTCCCTCACGGAATAGTCAAAAATGCAGATGACATACGAAGACAAATACCTTCATTGGTTACTCTGTACGAACATTTAGACATTGTTAATGTCTCCATAAATTCACAATATAAGAGAACTTACATGGCAGAAAATGTAAGTTTTTCTATTTATATTCTTTTGGACAATTTTTCTTGAGACTGACATTTTTTGACATTCATATAGCTTGCATCTGAAATATATACAACAAACATTGGTGAAACAAAGGTTGCTGCATTATATGCAAACCTCAAAACATATAACAATCAATCTTCTCTAATTCCTTCCGCAAGTAGTCAAATATTAAAACAAACTTATGTGATCGGAAATATAAATGTACCGAGCTTGATAGATAAACTAACTGAACAGTTAGTAAGTAAAGATAACCTATTTTATTCATTCATTTTAATTTTAGAGATTTATGTTATACATATATATATATATATGCATGCTAATAATATATTAAATTATTATAGTATGGTTGCCTTATTACGTTGGAGAATGATATAAAAACTGGAACGTGCACCATTCACATTGATTCCCCAAAGGTTGTAATCAATTTAGATGGTAACAATATTAAGATTGAAACTAAAGATAATTATACTAGAAAATTGGTTTCGGATGTTTTGAACCAGCTATTAATAGCATTTTGATAGGGTTTATTGCTATGTTTGTCATATAATGTATTTTCTGTTATATTCATCTCAAATAAACTATGTAATAGATTTAATAATGAATTGACCTAAGAATCAAAAAAAATCTATTAATAATTGGATTTCTAAATATTGTAATTACCATCCTACTAATACTGTAATAACGGATTATGAATCCTATTATTGTAATAACAGATTATATTATCTCTCGATTTTCAGCTCATAACTTCTTAATTTGGCGAATTAAAAATATCGTTTTTTTGATTAATTAGATCGAGAAGCATTATCCTCTTTCCGTTGTTTTTTCGCGGATTTTTTTGATACCAATGAATTATCATTCAAAATACTAACCCTCCATTCATCATCATCTTTAATTTTGATTATTGTGATATCTTTTTTACGTTTTCGCTTCCTAGATTTTAGGCCACTGTCAGTCTCAGTATTGACCAGTTGTGTGGCTTTACGAACAAAACATGCAACGAAAAAACCAATTGTAAAGTCCTCATTTGGACTTGCGCGAATTAACTTTTCTGCAGCTTCTGAATCATTTGTAACAGCAAAATTATTATTATCAATTAGATTAAGAGACTTTGGGCTAAAATTGTTTTTTTATTATTAACTAACCTTCGTCATTATTTATTTCACTTGAAATACCGCGTCTTGGCCATGATGGCATCATATCATTCTTGTTTGCCAAAACAAAAAGGTCAGTTTGATCCAGGACGCGTTTGATGACACGTTCATTCTCTTCTGCATAAACTGAGCATGTAGAGTATATTATTTTTTGAACAGAAGGAACTATTTTTGGTGTTGTAATAGAAATAATGTTAATTAACGAAAAGTGTAAATATTCAATAGAATATTAATATTACATTTAAACGCATGCAAAATTATCTTTTCTTGAAATTCGCTTAAATTTTCAAGACGCTGTTCCTTAGATTTGTGAGAAAGGTCCGAGTGTTCTTGAGCATCTTAAATAAGTAGTAAATAATGTAATAGAAATTTTAGAAATTTTAGTTTTTTGTGCGCAAAAAAGCACAACAATCTCATACGAAAATGTATACGTATACCAACCGTCGGATTCATCAATCAAATAATCCAATCTATTTACGATTCCTGAACCGGAGCATGATGGATCAAGTAAGATATAACATACACTAGAATATTTTGGATCCAAGGGATCAACATCCAAAAAAGATCCATGAATAGCTTCAACATCTATAAATCAAATGTAATTTGTGATTAAACAACTCAATACGAAAAAAAATTATTATAAACATTTTATAGAATTTTATACTTTTACACCCAGCTTTTTGTATGAATTTCTTAAGCAAATTTAATCGGTGTTTATCAAAATCAAAAGCCCATATTTTTCCTGTATTTTGCATTATGGCTGATAGATGTGAAGTTTTATTTCCAGGCGCTGCGCACGCATCAATCACATGCGAATTGAAAGATGGTGAGCAAACAAATGCAGGAATACATGAAGCTTTATCCTATACACGTTATCAAAGATGACAAATATCAACTTACGCGCGTAATTTAAAAGATAAATGCGCAAAGAAATACCTGTAGAATGATGTCACCAGATAAGTATAAAGCATCTTTATGAAGATCCGTGTTTGATGGTAATATTAAAAGATCAGGCAAATGCCTATCTTTTCGAATTGTTTTAGGGCTTTATTCAAAAAGAAATTTACAATCACGAAAGAAATGATTCAAAACCATCAATTCAAAATTTACAATGCGTTACTACCATATGTTAGTCAAATCATCAATAGGTTCCTCATGAGTAAATCCTTTTGCTTGGAAATGCTTTATAACCTTTTCAACCGACGTTTTAAGTGTATTTACGCGAATATATCGCGGGATTACAGCTATAACGAAATAATATTTAATAAGAAAACAAATCAATTTGAAAAAAATTGTATTATAATTATCCATTGATTTTTTTAACACGTACCTAACTCTCGAATTTCTGATTTTATTAAATCTTCATTGTTTTTAACCTTCAACTTAATTTTAATTCTGGCAAGTTCTGCTCTTAATCTTATTTCATGCCGCAAAATTGATTGTTTATAAGACCCATTTGATAACGATTTAATTCCATTCTGGGAAAATAAAAGATCGTGAACTAGAAGCATGGCAATATTTCTTGGAAGCTGACATATATATAATCAAAATAGATAAATATATGTTTATTGGTATTCTTTGAAAATGAAGATATAAACCAGCCGTTAATTGAACAACCTTTTTCTCAGCATTAAATATTTGAGAATTATTCATAATTGTATTGATTACATCTTTGTCTTATTTTGAAAAAGTAAAGTCATTATATTGGATTACTTGGTATATTTAAAATAACGTTCACAAAAAACCTTACATTACGGAAAAAATTCTACGATTGACCTTACATTTTAAAGTCTCACATATTAGTGCATACATCTTTTTCTTCTCCTTAACATTATCGGCTAGTGTAAGACTTTTAATCGTACCCTTATGTGCGAATAATTTATCTAAAATGTTTGCCGCTTGTATATAAAAATTCATCATTAAATTCCTTTGCGAACAACGTATACATCCAATGATCACAGATGCTTGATTTTTGAGAAAAAAAAATTTTAAATCCAAAATTCTCAATTTTTATTGGTCAGAATAAGATGCTAGATTTCAATCGCAACCTTTTCTTTCGTATCCACAATTTCAATCTGACTTCTGTACTTTCTATCTCTCCTTATATATTAATGATCCATAACTGTTAGCCACGTGATAGCACAAATTTATCAATTGACCATTATTGTTATCGTTATCTGTGCAAATCTTACATGCTAATACGTACGTACTTTAAATTATATCGATATATAATTTTAATTTACTCTATATAATTCATTAAATATTATATACTATCTATATACTAATAAACACTAATTTTATATATTTAACCAATAGATACATTACTTGTTAAATATCCACTTAGAATATAGAGCACAAAAGTCGTGTTGTTAAATGAAATAAATGAAATAAAGTCAGAACGCGACAAAAATACAAACGTAAAACTTACACCAGACA